CTGGTCAGTGACTGGCTGCTGGGGACCCCCCCCCCCCCGGTCAGCGATTTGGTGCCCCCCCAGACTCAGGACACACCAGTCACCCATGCTCTCAGTGAATATTATACTATAATCTGGCATTCTCTGTTCTTTGTGGCTTGTCAGAAGACAGTGTGATCCACTGGTCAAAAAATAGAAGGAATGGAAATCTGAAGACTTGGCCTTTTTTTCATAGCTCTTTTTCTGACTTGCTGTATGTTCTTGCATAAGTCATTTAGGATGCCTGTACATGAGCCCGGAGGCTGCTCCAATGTGCTGTAATTACAAAGTGTCAGAGCAGACTGGATTACGACTCTGCTGGAGCGTGGTAATAAGTACTGTGCCCCGGCTAGCTTCAGCATCCCCACACTTCAAAATGGCAGCAGAATCGCTTTATCTAAAGCTTGTTCAATGAGCTTTAGATAAAGTGCCGCCCACTGCCATTTTGAAGTGTGGGAATGCTGATACATGAGACATGCTAGGAGCTTTAATTAGAGCAGCTCTTGGAGCCGCTCTAATTTAAGCGCCCCCCGCATGACCACTCCCAGAGCATATGTAAAAATGCCCTTAGACACAATGTTTCCCTCCTTGTAAAAGTAGCAATAATAATATTGACTTGCCTTGTAAAGGTGAAAAGCATCGTCTGTGCAAAGTACACACATTTTTTTCGCGACTCGTACCATTGGCTTACCTATATATAACATGAACCAGTGTTTAAGGAACTCTTCCTAATAAATGATTATCTTGTTTTCAGCTATAAACCTGGGCTTTCACCTAAGTTTTTTTACAGAGTCTGAAGGTGAAATGCTGCAGTGGGAGTGTGACAGCAGCTCCATAGAAAGGAGAGCCAACCTCGTCCCAAGGCAATTCCTGGGACCAGCTCCAAAAGGCAAGTCTGCATATGGATACAGGGCTGCTTTGTTCTCTTTATTGAATGTGTCCAGTGACAAGCAATGCAAAGAAAGAAAAGGCCACATTTTTGCTTAGTTGAGTTGCTTCTTGACTGTATGCTAAAGAAGCACGGGTCTGCGTTTAGACCTCGCATGCCTAGACAACCTAGCAGTCTAACGATGGTACTGGAAGGGGAATGTAAAATCAAGGTCCAAGTGCCATCCTTTACCCTAAAGCAATGAATGCCTGGAAGCAACATGGCACTGGCAGCATTGTGAAACTTCCTCTTTCAGAATGACCATCTCTTCCTTTCCATTGTTTCCAATAAAAGGCAAGGCAGCAGCCATTTGGTTTCGAGCAGCTTGTGACTTCAGTCCCATTGCACATGGAGATAGGTGGGTGGCATGTTCAAAATGGGCACCTCGCTGTGAACAAATTAGTTCCTCAGACCCATTGAAAACAATGGAAGACGACATCAGTTTTGAAAGAGGGCAGTTCCCCATAGACTATTCTGTAGCAAAGTCCTTCCGTAAGGAAAAACTTTCAGATTTGAAGATAGTTTGTAAAATTTTGACAATAATTAAAAAAAACAACAACCTGCCTTTTAAATTTAACTGATTCCAAGATTTCTTTCAGTTTTAGCTATATGGGAAGTTGTGCAATGTTAAAGTCATTTGGGACAGAAAGAGTCTACCAGTGGTACCCATTAGGAGTCAGAGTAACGGGCAGGCTGGCTACCTGCCTATGCCTGGCTTTCAGCTGCCTAAATACCACCAGCTGGCCTCAGTTACCTGCACAGGCATGCCTGCCTGCATATAAGCAGCAGCCCTTTCGGTGTTTGCAGGATACTCAACAGTAAAGATGTGTCCCTTGCTTAGGCTTGTGCCAGCCTGAATGCCTTTCTAGATCTGACCCCCTAGCTCATGACTTGAGGTCAGACCCCTGGCTTTTGAAACCTGGGTTGGCTTTTCCACCTTCACCCTGACTCCCAGGTCTCAAGCCCTGACTGCCCGCATCCTGGTCCCTACACCATTCTAAATTTCTCTTTGAACTCATTTTAACTTCTGCAAGCTCTCAGAAAGTTTGTTTTGTACTCGAGGAGTACAAAAGGACTCCAAGAGTGCTCCACCGTTTTGTGGAGGATGTCTAGTCATCTTCATATGTAGCAAAGTAGCTAAATCCTGGCTTTAGGTGCAAAACTCAAGTCAGATTTAACCATGAAACAGCAAGTGGCACTTCTTCCACAATACTGAACCCTTTCCAAGCATTACTAACAAATTCTATAGGAATGAATTTCTAATATGCATGAGACAGAGGCATGTTGGGTTTTCTCTCTCAAGATATGTTCTTTACCTTTCAGGCCTGAGCAACCCTGTTTCTGGCCAGTCTTCTGGGTCACACTGCAGGTCTAAGGGTGGGAACCACCGTGTCTTTTAGGATGGTCATTCCATTTGCATCTAATTTTTCTTACTGGCTCTTTCAGTTCGTCCTCCCACAGGGAACAGCCTGAGGGTTTCATTTACTGTCATGTCGAGATAGTCCATCTGCATCAGGGCATATGTGGAGACTTTGGGGGAACGGGATAAAAATTGTCGGGTATGTTGGAGTCTAAATTAAGTTTTAATGTCATCAGTATTGAAATGATATTGCTTCCCTCCTTAATCTGTCACAGGCCACATTTCAGACTCACTGATGAACTGAATGCTAGGGATGGGCTTTTAAGTTCACCTTAATTTTTCATTTTCTTGTAATGGAATTTGAGGGACATGTATGTGGATATATGCACAGACAGATGGCCTGGCCCATGCGTTTTTAACAGGTGTGTGTTGAGACACTAATGGTAGAGAAGTTCTTGGTAAGAGACTATAAATACCAACTACTTAGTTCCCACGAAAAAAGGAGCATGAGTTATTGTGTTGTTCCAAGGACACTTTCACATGCATCTCATCTTCACACTTGTGAAGGCAACTTTTCTTCTCCCCATCTCTCCTTGCTTCCCTGTGCTGTTGCTTCCTGGGCTATAAGGAAGGAGAAAAAGCAAATAGGGAATGTGAAGATGGGCAAGGGAACGTGTAGACTGTGCACAGCTAGGGTGGCCACCACAGAGGACATTCTGGTTTTCTGCTACTCTGGCCTCTATTGATAGGAAACCCAACGCCTTCAAGAGACAAACAGAGGACATAAAAGCACCTGGTTTCTAATCAATAGAGAACAGGGGACAACTGGACCGTCCTCTATGATGTCCACCCTATGCACAAAGTACCTAGTGCATGCTGTATAAATACACAGATAGGTAAGGATTTTTCTATTGGTTCATGGGTAAGGGGTAGGCTGTGAAAATTAGAGAGGAGCTAACAACTGATTAGTAGTCATTAGTAGTGCTGACTGCCTTAGAAAGACTGTACCAAACAAAATGTGTGGTTTTCCTGCATCTCCCATGGTTCTTTTTCTAGCGATTTAATTAGAATATCAATCTATCTATCTATAACTATATATAGATATCTATATATATACACACACATTAAACTTGTGTCAGTTTTATAACCCCTCTCTTATCTGTGAAAAAAAGAGGATTGAAGAGTTTCTCAGGTGTAAATAATGGTATTGCAGCCCTGCAATCGGGAGAAAGCTGCCAGGCAGAGGCTGCTGCGTGGACTACAATCCCAAGGCTTGCAAGATAGGGACAGAGAGAGCAGTCTGCAGTGGGTGAATGCTTCCCTTCCATCTACCCTGCAGAATAGGAGAAAGATTGTTGCAAATGCTAAGGGGTTTGAATGAGATGCTAAGGGGATTGAATGGGATAACAGCATTTTCCAATATCTTAGAGAAGACTTAAACTCATCCCTCCTTCCTGGCTTGCCACAGAGGTGACAAGCACAGTCTCTGGAGGGGGGAAAAAACCCACATTTGTGCCAATCTCAGATAACTCCTCTTGCTAGCACAAGGGCTATTGGTGTTACCATGCTATGTCTAATCCCTTTTCCAGACAATGTAATGTTGTTACGTTAAGGGAATGTATGGCCTTTGGTGCGTGCTGTGAGGAGGAACAGAGAGAGAAATTTCTCAGGGCACCTGCTATCACCTGGTCCTGGAAAGGACTGAGGATGTTCCTAAGCATCCTGCACTCTGAGCAGTGTCACGTAAGTACCTGATTGCGAGCAGTGCTGCAATGCAAACATAGGGTGGGGAGATGGCCTCTGTCTCTTAGCATCTTGTCAGGTACCAGCCCCATATCTTTGCATGGCCAAGAATTATTACAAGAAGGAACAGCCCAGCCATTTCTTTTTTCCTGCTAGAGGAAAAGGTGTTATGCAAAAGTAGTAGCAACTTTTCTTCCTCTGACTCTTTGCTAGATAAACGTGCATTTACTGCTCAGGTGAGTTCATAGAATCAGAGGACAGTGGGGCTGGAAGGGACCGCCGGAGGTCATCTAGTCCAGCCCCCTGCTCAAGGCAGGATCAGCCCTAGCCAAACCATCTCAGACAAGTCCCTACCTAACCTAAAAGAGCACCGTCAACCCTGCTGCACAGCTACAAGGCATACTGCCCAAAGAGACCAAAAGCCCCCTAACCTGCCACAGGTGAAGTAAAAGAATGAGGACGGTGAGTGCCCACTACTGTACGGTTTGTCAAAATGCCCCTGAGAGCTTCGAGAAAGAGTGCGCCCCCCACTCTCCCCCAACACACACGTTAGAGAGCGAGGAAGGCAAAAAAACCCTCCACAGTGCACTGGGCAAAATCCCTTCCTGGCCCCAAAAGTGGAGTGGAGGAGGAAAACCCCCTATCCGAGAGCCTCTGCGTTTTAGTTCCAGCGGCAACCCTTGCACATATGAGTCAAAATCCTCATCTTTGGCTGCAACCAACACCCAATACTTCTGAGGAAGCTGAAAAAAACCCCATGGCACTTGTTAGGAGGGGGCAAAAATTCCTCCCTGTGGTAACCAGCAAAGCGCAGAAGCATGGGACAAAAGAAAAAGATCAAACACCCTCCAATCTTCTCTTCAGTCTGGAGACTGCAAGCATTACTCCACACATCACACCCTCCAGCAGGACAGCCAAACTCCGCTTGCTGGGTCACCTCTCTGAACATATCCCAGCTGTTTAACTTTTCTTTCTTTCTTTTTTGCTTTAATCTAAGCCGGTTGTGGAGTTCTGCCTCCTTCTCCAGGCTGCTGATTGTGGTCTTCTCCAAGGCCAATGAACCTTTCCCCACCCAAGGATATTGGCAAACCCTGTATTTTAGCTCCAGCAGGACCTAGGCATCCTATGTCAGTTTTCATGCTATTGCCTTTATATGACTGATCCAAACCATTGCTTTCAGGACCAGCTATTTGCTCTGGGGATCGATCATCATTTCCAGGAAATCCACTCTGCCTTGGGAAGCATTGTAACCCCGTAGACAAAACTTGATCTGGTGACCAGTCCCCCCAGGAAGGGCTCAAAGGGAGGAGTTTCATAAAGCCAGTGTTTTATTTCAAAATAGTGAGGAGTGACCAGAAAGGACCCAGCAGAATGTCTTTCATGTGCTAATAGTGCAAAACATGAAATGTTTGCATTTGGAGAGGGCTCGATCCGCCCGTCAAATTGAGGTGTCACGAAGGAAAACAGATATGACCCCTTATTTTCACAAAGAGTGATCTCAGTCTGAGGTTGCAGAGCTAAAAGCGGTTTTGTTTGTTTGGGGTTTTGTGTCCAGTTTGCAAAGCCTTGTAAATGCAGTTTTAGGGGAAAGTAATCACTATATCTGATGACTCTGCTATAACATGATTTTGTACCCTGAGGGAGAGAAATTCAGCAGGAAGAAAACATGATTTCCTATATCCCCTCACTTTTTGGAGGATAAAGACCGTCTCTTCTTTGAGGACCAAGTTCCTGAACAACTATATCTCCACACTGCACATTTTTTATTCATGCATATTTATATTGCATGCTCACTGGAGTCTGCTGCTTCGTCTGCTCCAGCTCAACTCTTTTCTGAAAATGGCTATGTCTTAGTTTGCTGTCAATTTATAAGCTTTGCAGATCCAAACTGCAGTCCAGCTTAGTTTTTATCTGGAGTTAACCTTTGCTCACTGAAGCATGCGCTCAGTTGTGTTACTCTGGTAAGACTCTATAGGTCTGCCCACAGTGCTACCCCAAGTGAGGAGTGCTGCTCCCAAGGATAACCCACCCATTTGCCCCTACTTGCCCACATTAAACCAAGAAATGTCATAGTGAAGCTGGTCCCAGGGTACCCAATGCAGCCATTCCCGATATCTCTGTCCCCAGTGCCCTTGGAGAGGCTGTGCCTGGAGGCACAAAGTAAGGAGCAAAAGCTGGAGGAAGGTGGAGGGCACCCAGAGACTCCAGCAGCTTGGACAGCTTCCAGGCAGGGGCTGGGGGCCTGCAATTTAACTCCTTGTGACCTCAGGCAGCCCAGGTGGCCCTGCCCAGACCCTAATGCAACAAGCTTTTGGATGAGCTTTCACCCTTCATAGGATGAACGTCGAGGGTGCAGACAGAAGTGCAGCTCCATCATGGTGCTTCGCAGAAACCATCACGAGTCAAACCGATCCTCCTGATCCAACAGATGTTAGCTCTTGGGTCAGAGGGTGGGGGATCAAGCTCCAATTTGGAAGCAATCCAGGAAGAAGGGCTGCATCTCTGCAGCCTCTTCTCCTGGCCCTGCCGTCCTGGCCCAGCCCCCGGAGCCCTCTTGGGATAGATGGGGGAGAAGGCAGGGAAGGAGTCCATTCTGGGGCTTCCTTCACCTGCACTGGAGTGGGGGATGTGGGTGGACTGGGCCCCAATCTACCTGCCCCACATTTCAGCACCCGCTGGGCAACCTCCAGACTGAGCTCCCTTTGCTCCCTTCCCCTTCAGTCTTTCCTACCCACATGCAGGAGGACTGGACTCGATGATCTGTAAGGTCCCTTCCAGCCCCTAACAATTATGAAACTATGAAACCGTGCCGGGAGCAGATCTGGGCTGACACAGCCCAGCCCTGTGCCTGGCACACGCAGACACGAGTTAATGAAGGTGCTCTGCTTTGGAGGGCTCATCTGAGAAATTGTGAGAGAGGGCCACATCTTAGGGATTAAAGGATATATGAAAGGATGAATATATTCTCCTGGGCTTAATTAGATGAGGAAAGGCTTCAGCACAGGTGAACAGGTGCCTTTGGTTGAGGGGGGGCAGGGAGTTATGCACATAGTGTGGAAAAGGAGACATATATGAATATCCAGGTAAGCAACTGTACTTAAGCCTGTCTCAAGTGCATGGTTTCATCTTTCCTGGAGCACACGGAGACATTGGAGTCCCTCAGCTGGAAAGCCGAGTCGGAGCTGCACTCGTGGGATTAAAGTGCAGGGTGAGAACAGGTTTTTGTTCTGATGTTTTCCTTTGCTTGTGCGTTGTTATATACCTTACCGTAGGGTGACTGATTCCTTACGCTTGTTCTTTGTTCCTGATCATCACTCCTTTGTGTTATCTCTTTACCCGCTTATCATCAGCGTTAACGGTGACTCCAGAGCATTTGACCAGAAGGGCAAAACTTTTCTATGGAAGAGGGGATCCACCTTGTTTGAGCACATGACCAGACACGATGTGATTCTTCTAGGGGGCAAAGTCCCCTCTTTGGACAGCTGGCAAAACTGGGTGAGACTGGTAAGGCTGAGCCACCACAGGCCAAAGAGTTGGCTCCTGGCACATCTTGGCTAGTTCTCAGCGGTCAAGCGACAGACAGCAGAGAGGGATTTGGGGCAGGGGGACAACTTGAAGATGAGAGAATAACCCAGAAGTGCATCTCTGAGATGCGCCCAGTCTTGCCTGGCATCAGGGCATGTCACAGTGCCCTACAATCCTAGTTCCTTTTCGATGTTTCTCACATCTCTAAGGCTTGCATGGGTATAAATTAGACTGGAATTTGGACAGCAAACCCATAAATCGTCCTTTCTGCAGAAGAAAGCTCCCTCGGCAGTGGTTTATTGGCTTAAGTGGTTCCCGATATGCTTTCTTGAGTCAGTCTCACAGTTTAAAAC